TTGAAACACTATCAGTTTCAGTTCAAGAACATCTTTAGAATATCAAGAACTAAGTTTTGAAGGCTACTTTCCGGATATTCCTTCAAATAATATGTGGATTAAAGATCCTTTTTCTGTCGATACTGAAAAGGAAGAAATGCTTAATCTTAGTGAACAAGAAGTTGATAATTTAATTGAAATTTCATGCGACACCGATCTTAAAAAAGTGTTTGAAACTGTACCACTAATTTACTTTTGGTTGGGCTGCCAAAAAGAATATCCAAGCGTAAGCGAAAAAGCGATACAATTTTTAATGCCTTTTGTCACCACTTATACGTGTGAAACTGCGTGCTGTGGGTTCTCAGCCTTGATGTACATAAAAAATAAGTACCGAAACAGATTGGATGTCGAACATAATTTGAGAATAAAATTAACATCATTAAGTCCTAATTTGAAATTACTACGTGATGAAAAACAACATCATCCTTCGCACTAAGGTCAAAATATGTAAAACAAAATTTACTTTATTTACTTTAAGTTTGGATTGTCTTTAATTACTTATGTTTTTGTTATATAATTATTTTGGAATTTTTGTGTATGAAATAAACATACAAATAACTTGAATTTTGATTTTTATTAAAAAATAAAATTTGTTTTGTAATAGATGTTTTTTTTCTATGGTGAGTCGCGAAAAAAGTTTAAAATCTCATATCAGGCTGCGTCAAAAAAGTTTGGGAAACGCTGTCCTAAGATATTGGATACACTCGATAGACTTAATGTATTCCATACTGAAGGATTTCTGTACGAATTATTTGCATTGGTTTAGTTAGTACTTAAAAATGAATGGTATACTTAAAGAAACATAACCAACAGAATGCTTATGCAAGAATGAACGCGTGGCTTGTTTACATTATCATCAATTACAACACAACTCATGACAAAGCGTAAAAGGGATATTTGGTCATTCTGACAAATCATAAATGTTACTCGTTGACATCTGAGACAAATTGTAGTTGCATGACAAATTGTTTATGTGCCATATATTTCTGTATGAAACTCTTGTACTGCATTAATATTTAAAGCACCTTATTTATTTGCTTACTTTCTCCCCTTGTTTGTTTCCTTATTATTTAATGTGGACACCATATGATGTTACTGTATGGCCTATTAAATTATGCATCTTTTTTGCTGCACTTCATTTAAACTTATTTCATGGAGTTGTACTACATTGATCGCTTTCTGAAGGTAACTTGAATACGACAACAAGAATAGCAAATATTTAAATTAAATATTAATTTTTGTTATACAGCATTCAAACATCTTCTAATTTTATGTTTTCGCACCGAGTATAAATCTTTCTTAAATATAAGCTTAGGAACCAGGAGACATAACTAAAATTTAGATTTCGTTATTTGTCGAAATTTAACCTTTTTACTGCCAATTGCAATAAAAAAGGTGCACAACTAGATGTTATTGCAATCCAAATATCAAATGTTCAGAGTTTTAAAGTTTCAGTTTTCTCCTACGAGCAATTGTTTTTGAGTTCTGCAAGGTGCATACATCCGTCCGTACGTAGAGACGCCAAGTAAATATCCCTTTTGAATTAATTTTAAATCTATTTTACAATCAGTTTTGGAAAAAACGTGTTTTTTTTTTCTATCCTTATGCACACACATCGCGTAAAAATATAGTCCAGATGGATTCCGGAACGGTTGAAATATGATACACTAAATGTTTTGAGATTACAATGCATGCTTTACTTTACAAGAATGTAATAAAAACAGAATATTACATTGAGTATATCATTTGCGATGGGATGTATTAAGGTATGAATTTAACAGGGTAGAAAGCATATGTGAATTCGGTATACTCAGATTTTTTTTATTTTGCATTTCAAAGAAATAGGCTATAGTTATACTTCGAATACTATTCATTTTACTTATATATAATACTTAGTTATTCAAATATATCTTGTAATATGTTCAGAACATAAATTAATAATTTTTAGGTCATATGCTGAAAATGCTATAGGCAAAAATACTTGAAAGAGAGCAAGCAATATGCGAATGAACATGATATTCGCTGACGTTGTAGTGGGACATTTTTTACCGGAATATAGCAGCTGAATTTATTTTGAAGCATCGATCTCTCCTATATGATACACCGTTCTAAGGCCAGACACTGAACATCATTACGCCTCAATAACCGATATAACATCCGAAATAGATATTATAGAAGGTGGTTTGCGCTTTATAGAAATAATTTCGGCAATAAAATTCTATACATAACAAGCTTATTTCTTGCAGATATTTGCTTTTGTCCTATAATCTTGATTATTGGCCATATTTTCCATGAAAGTTTACCCTTCATGTCAATTTTATGCACTTCTGTTGGGTTGTTTTCGTAAGTTCGATCAGTGTTCCTGAATGCCGTATGCCTAAGGTTCCTTAACATATTGAAAGTGCAAAAATCCGTAAGAGAAGAGTTGAGGATTTTGTAAATATTTTCTTACATATGATAAATTACATTCCTGTTTCTAATTTTCGTCTCGTGAAATAAGCGGCATTAACTAAGAGGCTTTGTACATATGAAACTCAAATTTATGAATGTCCTTTCCATATACGGCTGGAATTTCCTATTCAAAAATGAGTTCTAAAATATTCTGCTGATAGTACAGTAAATTAATTTTAGCCTTACCTGAAATTTTTTTAAGTTTAAATTTAGCGTTGTAACAAAAATCGACAAATGTCATAAACCCTGTTGGGAACTTTTCTGTGTATTGACGAAACCATTTAGTACGGTCATTTAGTCAGTTGACCATTAGAAAATTTATCTTGTTTTATTTCATTCATTTAAATATACCCTTGTCTCACAGAGTGGTACCTTAAACTTCCATTTATCAGCAGCTAGGTGTTTTTCCTATAATTTTCTATAAATTGTTTTTCGGCAATATGCTTTAGCAAAAGAAGATGAACTTTAGATTTATACATCGTTAACTTCAAAGTTTTATAAGTGCTTTTACTTAGAGTAAAAGACATTCCTAGTTCCAATGCAATGGAACTTTGAGAGGGTGGATTTGCTTTCAAGATCAGAACTTCACTTTCAAATATTTTTCCTCGAAATGTGCATTTGCATAAACCTTTCAGACATCTATTAATTTTGGAGCCATTTCCATAATAAATCTCTTATTCTGCATTATAATAAAAAATAGCAGCAGATAATTACATTGAAAATTCCAATCCTTATTCAAAAGTGATAACGAAATAATTTAAATAGAAAACCTTCCACATAAACTGCAAATGATCTTTTGTATTTTTAGTTTTTCATTAATTAAATAAAACACAAATTTCAAAATCAATGCTAACATATTTTAAACAATTCCAAAAGAAGTTTATGTAAAAGAAACACCTAATTTCTTCAATTCTAACATGCTCATCAATTTTAAAACTGCTATCTTTAATTTCAGTAGCATCAGCATTGAAGACCTTTAAGAAAATGTAATACATAAAACAAAAGACAAAACCTTTTTATGAACATTTTTATTATAAAATAATTCAATTTACTAATAACAGTATTTTATATTAATGGGTATACATACTCTTCATCACTTCAGAATCATATCAAAATCATTCTTAATATCAGAATATGATTCCACTGAGCTCTCCATACCGTTAGTTAGTTAACAAAGGATTTCCAATGCGAAATATTCTAATAGTATCATAAAAATTTTACTTAATTTATGAGGCTTTAGAGTCGGACCATTGGTGTGTTGGTGGTACGACAGGAAGAACATTTAACAGATATCATAAAAATCGCTATTTTAGAAAATCACGTGACAATAAATTTGCTGCAAATTACTCAGCAGAGATAATATCAAGAAGCTCGTATGTACTCCACGCTATGTGAATTTTTTTATGTAGAATATGCTGCTTTAGTCCTTTAAGAGGCAAAACTCTATCTGAATTTATTTCTGCAGAAAGAAGTAAGAAAATGTCTTCAACAAATTCAGTTATATTTTGTTTTCAGTGAAATCCTACTTTCTCACTGCAGACACAATTTTCAGAAGCCAATCAGTTGTCTTTTGGATAATACTAAAAGACTGCACCCATGGCAGTGCCATCTTTTATAGGATACATGGCCAACATCCATAAAGATCCGTAGGCAAAGAGATGTTTTTACAAACGGATTTCAGAGATCACCTTGATCAAAAGCAAATATCGTGTAAAATATGAACATGGAGCGGGAAATGAGATGGCAAGGACCAGCTTTATTCAAAGATTAATACAGATGTACAATGAAATTGGATTTTCTTAATTGTGTCTTTTTTAATTCACCTATGTAATTGTTCAAAACATACGCGCATTTAGTATAATTTGCATACATTGCTTTTAAATTCGAAATACGTGTTCCAATTATTTTTTACTTAATTATCCTAACCAGGATAAAAACTTTCAATATACCAAAAGCACCTTGAGCTGATAATTTTTGGGAACAACTGTTATGTTTAATATTAGAGTACTTCGAATGAGAGACTTTTGTCAAGAATTTTCTGAAGCGTCCTCATTTTCATTATACCGTCTTCAGAGCCACAGAGAGTGTCTGTTGGTAATGACATATTTTGTAAACGTGCAAATTGCGTAAAACGAAATCACTGGCTGCCATGTACGAAAAGTGAAAAATTTCTGAGAAACCGCATGTCTAAGACGTATCATTTTACAAAGAACTTTTAGAAGCGCTTTCATGAGATTGCAATAAAAAAGTACAACTTGCTTGGACCAATCAAATACATTCGGCATTAAAATACAAGAATAAGTCAGAATATATATAAAAGGAAACGTTCAACTAAAAATAAATATTTTTACAGTATTAACACTATTTGTAGAATTCTCTACACTTTTCCGATATGTAGAAATAGTTGAATGGACAATCAATGCAACCCAATAATTCAATAATAAATTTATTAATAGTTGAATAAAGCAATCTAATATGTAAAAGTGAGAAAACAAAATGGCGTTGCTTACCACACAAAGCCCAACGAGCAACATCACAGATGACACTACACAGCAGAAAGAGAATATAAGCAGAAATATTGTTAACGTCAGCAGTTCTGTAAAAGAAAAAAACAATATTAATGCGGAATGAATACCAAATTGTATACCATGTCTTTCTTATTTCAAGAGAAACAGATCCGATTTGCATTTAAATACACATGTGGAGCGGTTTTATGGAGAAACGAGTGAATAAATCTATCGTTGAATTATTTTCTCGTTTGTGGCTGTTTAATATTATTCTTTAGGCAATGTTTAGTGTTACTATATCTATGCTAATATCGCTTAATTTAAGCAAACATATATTTTAATATCCTTTATGGTTTTGGATATCAATTTTTCAACGCCTAGAATAATACATTATTTTTATCAAATAAATCTTTTCCACAATATTATTTTTCTCTTTTCTTAATGCACAGAAGCTTCGAGAAGGATATGTATAGATTTTTTTATTTCATATTTCAGTACTTGTTATTTAAGAACATCCTGTTTACTATGAAAGCTTTTTATCAACGATACTTAATGTTTTTTGAAAAAAGGTATGATAAATTAATTAGTGTTCTTATAATTAGCGTAAAAACTAATGCAATTTTACCAGTTATAAAAATTAAAGTAACCGTGATCAATGAAGATATTCGTGAAAAACTGAAGATAAAGAATTTATGCACAGCATAGCAAGAACCGTCATTTTCTATTAGAACTTTGTTTTCCAATGGCGAGCCCCCAGCCGACTTCGGCTTGGCCACTAATAAGACCAAAAGTGGTGGGCACTTTATTATGGAGGCACCTGAATAGGCGGGACATCTTTGCCTCCTATGAAGGGACGGACGGTTACAATCATGCCTTTTCTGGGATTTGAACCCCGGTCCTTTGGTATCGCAGGCAGCTCGCCTAACCACTATTGCGTCTGCGCAGCTGTATAAGAACTGTACCTCAAATATTTGAATTTTCATTGAAACAACCCATGCATAAAATTTTTGTACATCTTGAGTAAAACCTTATTAAAATGTTACTGTTGTCAGATTCGATAACGTCACATAAAAAGCATAGTTGCCAGATGCTTACAGACGATATCTTTCATCAATTTTCATTTCATAAACTTCGTTGCAACAATTTGTAATTAAAGGTTTTTAAAAATGCATGAGAGGTCGATCGCAAACTTGAAGATTTTATCCATCAACGCTCTCTTTAAAAGAAAATCGGATGACTGGGATTAAACATTCTAGCAGCATACGGATTGTAAGCTTGCACTAATATTTATTTTAAAATTTTATTCAAATAGCAATATGTGTTTTTAATTTTTTGATATTCTTCTCTTTATACCTTTTGGCTTTTAATATAGCAATAGAGGAATAAACACTAGAGAAAATTAAAATAGATTCAACAGCAAAATTACGCTTTTATAAGTTAGCAATAGCAGACGGTATTGTTGTTTAAAAATGTAACGCAAGTATGTATAATGCTTGTTAATTATAATTAAAAAATCTGATATGTACACCATATGAATTCCTTGTACGGAATATTAAATTATACGCATTTGTTTTCTGCATTTCGTTTAAATTTATGTCCTCGAATTTCATTAGAGATATATTTCTCATTCACTTAATTTAGTTCTCACTTCGTGACACGGCAAAAATACATAAAACCTCAAAATATCTTTATTAAAAATTGAAAAATGTAGAAAAATATAAAACATAAATGAAGTTAAAATAATTTAAAGAATAATTTTTACAATTAAAATTAGAGTTTCTAAGCAAAAACAAGCAGCAAGGAAAAGCGAAAGGAGGCAGATTTTTCAGTGCACAAAGGTGAAAGTTTACTTTTGGTCTCACTCGGCAAAAAGACGCTGAAGTTGTAGAAACTGAATTTATTGTAGATGCTATGCTGAGTCAATATATGAGATAGTTTAATAACTTAAATGATAATTCCAGATTGGATTAAGCATAATTTAATTCGCAATAATAAAAGAAGATGTTATTTTTGTTGTTGCGATGATTAATTTCTTTAGATTGCCAACAAGTCCACTATTCTGCCATGTTTCAAATGTAAACAAATATGGCTGCTATAGTAAAAAATTAGGCTTAGCCGCACTTAAACAACTTTTAAATTGTTGATTATTTAACTGGAAGATAAGAACAACATAATTCAATCATTTTTAAAGCAAAAAATGCACACTTTATCAACATATGAGGAAAAAAAAAAAAAAAAAACTGAGCTCACGGAGCCGAGTAACAGAGCGGGTATATATATATATATATACTTATTCACTTCTGGTGCTGCCGATTGCCACCAAAAATGAGGTGCACAACTAAATCCTATAGCAGTCCTATATACAAAATTTAAACGTTCTGAGGCTACTCGTTTTTGAGTTATGTCAGATGAGTTATGTTTTGAGTTATGCATGCATACGTACAGACGCCACGAAAAAATCTCTTTTGAATCCACTTTAAATCATTTAAAAAATTTCTTTGGAAGAAAAAGAGTCCTTTTTTCTGTCCTTTCGTACAGATGTCACGCAAAAACATTGTTAAATTGCATTCGATACAGGTCAAAATGGATATTTTCGTTAAAATATGGTACCCGGAATTCTTAGTAATTGCAATACTTCCTTTACTTCGTACAAGGAAGTAAAAAAAATACACTCAAAGGACACACTAATAAAGAATGTAAATTTTAGTGAAAAAACAACTACCAATTCTCTTAAATTTAGAATAAAACATTATAAATTACAAGGTAAGTTTCCTATTCCTTAAAAACAGCACTGTCTCCTTTTCTTAGGCAAAAATGTTTTACTTCAAAATCGGTAAATTTTTTTTTTCAAAATTTACGCTAGTCTAAGATTGCTTTTTCAACGAATTTAGTTTTCTGAAGGGAAAGATATAAAGTTTTCAAGCTGCAAAGTTCAAAGTTTTAATTTTTTTCCCTCAAGTCTATTTTGCATTCAAAGTTCTGAAATTTGAACATTTGCCATATTTGTATCATCCATTAATCATTGTTTTTCATTAACTGAAAGAAAAGGCTTTTCCAATAAGAATGATATGATTTTAAAATGAAATAAAATATTAAAAAATTTTAAGTCTGAAAGGTTTAGATAAAAACGCTGGAGATAAAAAAGTTTTCTTTTTCCCTCCCGTAGAGTGTTGCCATTGCTCGCTTTTAAATCGTTGAGTTTGTCAATCAAAAATATGAAACCGATAATAAAGCCAATTCCAAATTTCAAATTTGGTCATCCAGATGCCCATATTCGCAGTAGGATTACGTCATTCATAATTGGATGGCTCTAGGTACCGTTGTTTTATCACAATGCCAGAAACATACATACATTTATGCAGATTCTGCATTATTTAATTTTTTCAAATATAATACAGGGCGATTGTATTTGTTGGCAACAATCTGAAAAGTGAAACGGACATTCAGAGTGATTCAACGCAAAATCGCCAAACGAAAACAATAGTCCTTCGGGGACAAATCCCCTTTGGGCTAATTATTTCAGATACCATCAAATATTTCATACTATTTTAGAGTAGAATTGATAGCATGTTTTGAATTAAACTTTATTTAAGCGTCCATCTCGACTTTGATGTACAGCACCCTCTTGTTGGAGCCATATGTCCTCGAAATCAATGTTCTCCTAATTTGGCCAAGAAAACTTCGTTATCTTCAGTTGGTATCGCTTACGTGCCACTGTAGAGTGCATCTTCTTCGTTTTGGAATAAAAATGGTGCGATCATGTAATTATGCCGTAAGTTCTTAAGTGGCCCTTTACGAATGCAAGTACTTACGCCAAGTATGACAATTTTATTTTTAACATATGCAATCAAGCAGAAACGAGCTTCCTATGAGAAGATAATTTCTTTGCTCAAAATTAATTTCCTTGAAGAGTGTATTTAGCCGTTTGCTGCAGTAATTTGTGTTGCAGTTTCGGATAGACTTATAATCGCTATTCGGCCAAAACAACAAGATTAAAAAAATGTTATGTCGAAGTTAAAATGTGCGTAATTTTTCTCCAGGAAATAAGTTTAAGAAGAATATAATGCTGAATAGTATAAAGACTTTTAGTTTTAGGTGTTAAGATATTTAGGGTATATATAGAAGAGAATTCAGCTTGATACTCGAAATCAATCAAAGTTCATTTTTAATCCTGTTTTCTAAGAATATAGATTTCTTGGAATACTGTCAATGTTGCCTTTCTCTTATTCTTCATTTATTTCTTTTTTTACCATTTTATGTCCAGCTAAGGAAAGCGGATTGTCTTTCATGCAGGATAATTATTTATTTATTTTTGAAGAAAAAGCATTCTGTGAATTTCAGTTCAAAAGTTTATATAATATTTCTATGGTAAAGTCAAGCCAAGGTTGAATATTTCTTGATGAAATACAACCTGCTTTACGAACTAATAATTTATAACTGCATGGAACTTGGGATTAATTAAAAAATATTTTAAATGTATTAAATAAGAAGAAATCCCTTTTTTCATGAAATCTTTTCTTAAATTGGAATCATGAATTTATGATTTCAAAACGTATTTAACAATCCAGTCACTTTGAAGCAGCGCATTATGTACTTGATGTCTGGAACCATGTATGTATGACCATTAAGCGATAGTTATCAGTGCGATCATTCTAAAATACATTATATACTAATGTTTAGAGTCTGATGACTTCTGTAATATAACTTGAATACATACTGTAATATTTTTATTTGCATTATTAAATGTTAAATCGCTTTTCATTGAGAAGATAGTTTTATTTAAAAAATAGCCAAACATAAATTTTCATGATATCTTTTCCTACAAATATACCGTTGTTAAATAAGTAAATAAATATTCTACAATGCTTGAGAACTAGTTTGAATATTTGATTTTAAAAAATGTCAAAATTTAATGAGTGGTACCTCTGGATACCTTTGAAAAATGTTTAAAATTGAAACTAAATCTATAGAACTAGCTCTGTGTTACATCAATAGCACTTTGGTACAGTGTAATAAAACTGGTTATTTAACATATAAATGAAAATTTTTACTTAGGAAATTTTGACTTCCTTCAAATAGACTACCTTCA